AAAAATAATAACAATGATGATAATTGTAAGTAAATACTGTAAAAAGATTTTGTGGTCTATTCAAAAGTGTCTGGTGGTCTGGATTTGGCCCCGGGTCTGCCTACTGACTACCGAGTGACTTTACTCATATGTGTGGCCCCACTGAGATCAAGTAAAGTTACTCTCCAGCCTAAGAATTCACAGATCAGGATCCAATTTTCTCTGCTTCCTATCCTAACAGTTGTGTACTGCTGCTGTGTGCTATTGAACAACAATTCCACTCTGTACCAGAGGTGGCCACATTTCACTGTCAAAGTGATCTCCATATATTCCTTACCCACCTCATTGTAATGCTATGGGGGATTATTGGTTAATGGTTGTAAAATGCTTTAAGAATCACCAGGTGTGCTGGTAGGTGTAAGAGGGAATTAAAAGACATGGAGTTCAGCGCAATTTATTACGGACCTGACTCTGACCTCACTCATATCAGACCATTGATACAGAGCTCTAGGGCCAAATTACCATTAAGGGTTTCATACTGCAAGGATGTGCTCAGCACCTCACTATATCAGGCCCTGACTATGGACCATTTCTTACCATAGGATAGAATTTCCAGTGTAGGGACTTAATCCTGCAAACTCTTGCTCACCAGAGTAATCCCTGCTTACATGATCCCATTTTACTTTAATGAAACTACTTAGGGGAGTAAGGATTATTTACGTGAGTCAGCTTTTGAAGATCCGGCTCTGGAATTGACATTACTAGTGAGGTCACATGGGAAAAAAAAGGTAAAAGAGAGCAGCATCTGTACCTATTTAGGAATATAAGATTTCTATTTTAGTATCATTAGCCTTTCTCCCTACATATGGTTTGCCAAAATATATAAAAATATATCAGAATGAATATTACTTTCCAGATTTTACTCTGTAGTTTGTTTTGAGCATTTTATTATAATGTATGGTAGCCATGTACTATACACAAAACATTTGTTTGGGTAGCATAACAATGTGTTCCTGCAAACAAGTAGGTTGCAACCCACGTGTTATCTCAGGCCAATTTAATCCTAAAACATTTTATGTCTTCCCTCTGTAAACCGTGTGAACTCCTTTCAGATGTATTTATGTATGGCTCTTCTCGCTCTTCAAAACAAGATGACATATTTCCCCTTTCCTTACAAAAACACACACACAAACAGGTTCACAATCACCTATTTCCTTTTTAATGCGAACAGTTCTATTTTGGATTTATCACAGGTCATTAATTTGCTCCTTTTTAAAAAATCAATGAATCAATGAAAGCAGCTCCTTATCTATACCCTCTGCTACCTATTTCTTCTGACTCCAATTGCAATAGCTGCCCTCCTCAAATTACAAACATTAAAAAAGGGGCCATAGCTACCATGTACTTTTATCTTCAAGTAGTTAAGACATGTTAAATACACATGTTCCTAGTAAATTTTAGTGCCCAATTATCCCCCCCCTTTCAGGAGTATTGGTTTAGCTGATAAAGTAGATTTTGCCATCATAAGAAAAATATACAGTTCTAATGTAAACTAATTGAGAATATGCAGAACATCTGTGAGCATATGATTCTTTTCACTCAAACTATTCACTCATGTTTCATATCTTCTTTGACTCCTATTATATGAAAAGCAAATGTAGCAAATATCTTGTATTGCATGAAATTAATTATTCTTAAAAAAACATCAGTTTATCATTTACAGAGGTAAGGCTGGATCCTGCAGTCCCTTGACTAAACTTCCATTGAAGTCAGTGGAAGATTTTCCTGAACAAGGAGTATAGAATTGCACCCATATTTTTTATATTTAGGTTTATACAAGAAGAATACGCCCTTTGTCTTATTGTCTTTGGGTCTTTTATAAATGGTTACCAATATAAAAATTGGATGTTTTATATTCTAAAGAAAACTATAAACAGAGAAACACATTGGCACTGTAGGTGGTTTGGGGTTTTTATTTTATTACTCATGCCAGTAGTTCCATTCAAAGTCCTGTGGGACTACTACTGTAAGGAAGGGCTTGCTGGCAATGGCCCACTTTTCTTCAAAATATGCTGGCCAGCCCCATTAACCAAAACAAGGTCATTTGTCTTTTTCATTATTTTTTCTGAAATCCACAAACCAATCTCTAAAAACAGTAATATTTATGCACATCTTAAACCAGTTGAATAATCTGGGCAAGAGCTGCATAAAGGGCCTGATCCTACAAGCGTTCCTTCTGCAAGTAATTTTTACTCACTGGAAGAGTCCTATTGAAGTAAATGAATTTACTCCTGTGAGTAAAGATTACTCGCATGAGGAATGACTGCAGGATGGGGCCCAAAGTAAATAAGAACGTGTAAACCAAACTCACAGTTATTGAAATTGTTTTTACAAAGACAGGATAATAGCTGGAGACAAGATTTTGCCCCTATATTTAAGGTTGGGTTAATAATTAACGTTAGTTCTGGTTTATATTAAGCAGGAGTTATCAGAGTGTATTTCAAATAATACCATACTATATGTAGACCAGAGATAGAAAGTGTTTGGGATGATTTAACTCTCCTGTTATGTATTTACAGACCCAAACATGCCCCCCCCCCATTAGGAATTTGCATTTTTTATTTATAGCCAAGTTAATTAAAGCCACTATTTCTGTATCTGCAATGAACTTCATGATCTTCATTCTGCATCAATTTTAAAGAGGTCTGAAAATGCATAAACATTGGCATAAGTATGTAGGTTTACAAACATACTTAAAGACCAGCTAATTATCTTAGGAAAGAAGAAAAGAGAAGAACAAATTTCCTTCTAAACAAGTGGTCAAGCAGACATGTAGGAAGAACCCAATAATTACTATATTACAACTAGCCATTAAATAGTCACTCATGAGATTCTTTGACTATGGTTAAAAAAGCCCTACTGCCTTAACTTTGTCAAAGCTGCTGGGAGCCTAGCTTCAAAGGAACAGGGAAAGCTGTGGTTTTTACATTTAACCCTTCCTCTGGATGTCAGTCATCAGCACCAGTTTCCCCTCCTCTCATCACAAGCAAAGCTAGTTGGAAGTAAAGCAAAAATCTTTGGCACAGAGCGCTCCGTGCAGTCCAAACCAGACGCCTTTTCACACTTTCAAACTTTCACTAACATTTCCCGGGCCACGAGAATGCCCCAAATGGCTTCACTGGCCCCGGAGCCAACAATCCCCTGACCCAGACTGATTTATCTAATAATTGTTAGTTCTGTAATTGCTTGTAGGAGGCCAGCAGCCACCAGCTCTCAACCTTCCCCCTTCCCCCAGGCAGTCTCAGTTCTGCTCCACTTTTCCAATACACCAGCAGGCAGGAAAACAACTCATGGGGATTTGCAGGCTCAGGCTCCCACTTTCGCTCATGCAAATTCACAGCCAGAGCACTTAATGCACATTACTCTCAACTGAGAGCTTTTCATGCTCCTGCACACACACACACACACAAAATCCCTCCCACCAGCAGCATCCTCCTTGCCACTATCATCCCCCTCCGCCCCCTGCTGCTGGCTGGGATTTCGGTGGTGAGAGTGGCGGAAAGCCCTCTGGCCCTTTCAGATCTAACACCCTCTGTCTGAAATAGTCCGGAGGGCGAGGGGGCTTATCGCCATCCCAGGACGGTTCCTTCTTACTCCCTACAGCAGGGAGCCCCCCTCGCCTCCCCTTCCCTTTCCCCCGCCTTGTATTTTTCACCGAGGCAGCACTTTTAGGAGGGAGCTCGGAACAAACACTCCATTATGCGATCCAGGCCTGTTATTTCCTTTTAGACAAACTTTGCCATGGGGTTGCCTGGTTCCCCGGGGTCTGAAGGGTCGGGGGGAACGACACACACTGGGGGAGCAGCAGGGCAAGGGCGCTCAGAGGAGGGAAAGGGCGAGGGCTTTGGTTTCCTAAAGGACCGTGTTGTGGCTCCTTCATGCTCGGGTCAGTGCGGACAGTTGGCAAGAGCGGGTCAGCCCCAGTGTGGCTGGCAGGACCATGGGGGAGGGAGTGCCTGAGCCGCCCCCACCCCAGTGCCAGAGGAGCTGACAGCAGCGGCGAGAGGGGGCGGGGAACAGTCCTGCCCGAGAGCCACCTTCGCTCGGAGCCGACTGGCGCTGCGGGGAGTCAGCCCGTGGTGGCTCCCGACACATACACACACCCCAGCTGGGAGTGGGGGGGACAGCGCCAGAGCCTCCCCCGCTCCCTGCTGGCAAAGCAATGACAGGAGCCCGCGGCTGGGAGGGGGAGATCAGCCCGGAGCGCCAGCCCCATGCTAGCGAACAAAGCCAGCCAGGCAGCAGCACACATCCACACCCAGGGACCAGCATGGGCACGGGGGGCGCGGGGCAGAGCGTGTGGGGCTCCCAGCCGACAGGAGCCTCCTTTGTTCCACACCCAGCGCCCCTGTCAATAACAACAGCGTCAATACCCGGGTTAAAGAGCAGCGCCCAGGGATTACGCACGTGCAAGGCGCCCACATTGTCCCCATAACAAAGACTCGCCAGCTCCTCCCGTGACGCTCTGCAGCCCCGGGATGAGCAGCTAAAGGCGGGGGTTGGGAGCCCCAGAGCCCGCTCCCGGCCCGCTCTGGATCTCTCATCCGGGGCGCCCCGCACCGCAGGCAGCGCGCACGCCCAGCGGCGGGGCAAAGGAGCCCGGCTCCGCGTCCGCTGCGAACAAGCGGGGCTGAGTGAGGCGCGAGGACAAACGCGTTCAGCCCCGCTAGCGCCCGAGCCCCGGAGGGACGCCCCGGTGTGCCAGCGGGCTGAGCAGCCAGACTGATAAAAAAGGCAGCCCAAGCCGCAAGCTGACCGGGCAGGGGCAGCCGCATAACGTGTGCTAGGGCAGGCGGCTCTCCCCCGCCTTCCCGAAGCGCTGCCGAGCTAGAAACCAGCAGCCAACCTTAACCACACACCGAACACGCTCCTCCCGGACCCGCCAGTGCAAGCCAGGAGGAGCCTTCCTTTGCAAGCAACCCAAAGGATTAGATATAGATATGGAGCGGGGAGTACTGTACCTTTTCGGTGCATGTATCTAGGCAGCTAGAGGACAGAACTAGCTGATGTAGTGTCCCATTTAGTAATCCATTTAAGGGGATCTCTCTGGGAAACTGGATCCACTCTCTCCTTTGCAATCCTTTGTCATTACTACATGTGTGCTTCTTTGGGGGATGGGATGTTTAATATTGCTACTTTCTGGAATGCAAATGCAATTTGCTCATTTCCAATGACGGGAGAGAAAAGGGGGAAGAGGAAAAAAGGTTTAGCAACTCCTCTCCAAACCCAAATTCCACTAGGATCCCACTCCAGGAAGTCCCCTTCAGTCGAATCTTAGGAGATAAGTCATTTCAGGGTCTTGTCCTGCTCCCTTTCTACCAAAAGTGCGCCAGGTGTAGAGGCTGCTTCAGGAAAACTCCTAGGCAGGCGGCACTCTGTGCGCCACGGCAGGAAAGCGCGGTTGCTTTAGCCCAAAGCTCCTGGTCATTGAACTGTGTTTGTAGAGGAGTTCAGAGCAACCTCTCTCCCTTTGCCCTGCCTCTCTTCCCACTGCTAGTCTCCGAGTCCCAACTCCTCTGTCAAAGGAAGGCAGCTTCGCTGCGGGTGGAGTCAAATCCCGGACTGGATCTCTCCAGATGGACTCACTTGATTCCACCCACCCTTCCTCTCCAGTCCCTTGCTATACCGAGCAAGGATCAGCATGTGCAATGGGTAGGATAGGGTGAGAGCATGGCGAGTTTCCAAGTGGCTATTCCCCCTCCCCCCGACATATACAAACAAGAAGATAACGAAAGTGAAGAACTGAAAAAGCCCTTACCCCATATACAGTATTTATGTACAGTACTGTGTTTGTAATCAGGACTGGGGATGAAGCAGTGATGAGAGAAGTATTACTGATTCTTGACGCAGAAAAGGGCAAGGAAGAAGTGCTCCAGGAGACGAGATACAAGAAAGGATTTGCTCATCGATTTTCTTAAATGAAAAAGTTTTAAAGGATGAGGGTAAGTGAATTGTTAAGACTTTCTAATTCTGAGAACTGTTCCAGTGCTCAAATCCTAGAGCAATGAACATCCTACACACAAAGCGAATTGACTAGAAGATATGTAAATATATGTAAAATAACTGTTCAGTACATAGTATTCTTATACAAATAAGTAGATATAACAGCTCTTGAAAGAAAAATATATGCCAAGAATAAACTAACAGAACTATGATAGTCTGAACACTGTGCTTGAAATTTTGTATTTACATGCAATGAGAAATTTTGTATTTAAATCCTTAATAAAGTGAATGTAGTGCCAATAAAAAATCCCCAATAAAAATACCTACACACGCACATTTTAAATATTTATTTTATACAGGTGCATGAAGAGAGGAAAAGGGATAACCTTTCTTCTACAAACATTAACTTGCCAAGACACAGCCTCCATCCATCGCCCGCGTTAAAAAAGACTTTTTTTTAAAGGAAACTTGCCAAAGGCCAATACATCCTCACTCCTCTCCATTCCCAAGGCATATCCTTATTTCTACCCCATATGTATATGCTTATGTCTACGTCAGATTTGTACTGAGTGAGGCAACCATAAATGTTGAAAATGCTGGCAATCGAAATTTTCCACCACCGCGATTGTTCCAGGTCCACTAAAACTGTTTTCCATACCAGTAGCAATGTTTCGTTTTAAGAGAAAGCAGCAGCAAAAGAGCAGGGAGTTGTACTTGTATATCAAGATCTGCAGGAGAGAGCTGAAAAGATGACAATGAAAAAGTGCCCGGAGTCAAAAACAAATCAGAAGCCTCAGGTGGTCTAACTTGCACCTCTGAAACCTAAGTGCCACTGCATATGTACACAAGTTACACAGCATATGCCTATATTATAAGTACAATCTGTGTGTACAGTGTATCTCAGATGATATGATTAAGAACACACGCACACAATAGCTCTACCTAGAGGGGTTTAGCCTTGGGAGAAAGACGTCTCAGAGCTGTCTCTTGCTGTTTTCCCTGTGTGCCAGAAGGGGCCGCTGCACTAATTCGCCTGGGCAAACAATGCGAGGCTTGATTAAATTTGCAAAGTTGCTGCCTGATCCGGCTTCCTCTGAAGGCGACGGCAAAACTCACAGTAACTTCAATGGCAGCAGGATCGGACGTCTGAGTTGCTCACGTATTAGCACAGTGGGAGCTCCCCTGCCTCCTGTCATGCTAGCATGGTACTGTGGCGCACTTCTCAGCTGCGTGTTCAGTTTGTGTGCGCAGATACACAGACACAGCTCCTCCCGCTCCTGTCTCTGCTCTGTACAGATAGACCCATGCTACGTATATTTCTAGCTACCGCTATACAGTTTCCACAACGCATGTTATATGGAGAAGTATTGCATTCTATTGTGTAACCTCCTAATCGCATTTTACTGACATTACACATTCACGGAGGGCACTAATCTGAAGTACCATGATGCCATCCGTCCGATGGCCCTCTAGGGAAATAGGGCTAGTCGTGTTTGGCAGATCAGGTCCCAGTTGTCTTCCCCACCCCACCAATCCCAGTTTGTTAGCTGCTGGCTGGATTAATCCGTCCGTGTCTCAGAGCCAGTGAAAAGCAAGAACAGAGCTAATAAATTAATCCTCCGGTTTCCCACCCCCCCGCCCAGCAACCCTGCTGCTACCGCTGCCAGTCAATGCCGCTACTCCGGCGAGTGGCAGCACTAGCGCCCCCCAGGCTCAGGTGCGGCGAAGGAACGGTGCAGCCTGCCTTTCACTCTTGGCTCCAGCAGCAGCCCCAGCCCCACACTCCGCGGTTGATTTACATGTTAATTGTGTCTGGGAAAACTTCTTTAATTGCCGGAATTAGGCAGAGCAAACGGATTGTTTCACAGGCTGAACCAAATTAATTCCAGGTTTAGCTCCTTCCCTTAGAGAAACAAACAATTAAGCTGTCTTGTTTGCTTTATGGATATCGTTGAAATGGGAGACACGTTGCTTTTCTAGAGAGAGCGGGGTGGGGTTTTCTTTCGCAGGATGTATTTGTTATTTTGAATATTAATGTTTATTTATTTATTTTATTTCACAGAGTCGTTATATGAAGAGGATATTTCTATTGACTTTTTGCACAATCCAGCCAGTAATACACTGATTTACAATTGCTTATCTTTTCATAGCATATCACTAAAGAAAGCTGTGTCCCACCACTCTGATTTTCCAAATCCCGCTGCATTACGATCCAGTTAGACAGCTATCATTTTAAACCGTTTGGATTTCGATTATGAGATGAAACTGTAGTGGAAGCCACGTGTAAATCCGCTCGCTTGGAGCTCTGAGACTCTTTTACCAGTGCCTTTGTGACAGCAAGAGAAGGAGCGGGGGAAATAAAAGCAAAAGATCCCCCATCCCCCTTTTGCTGATTTCAGCCTGTTCCTTCTCTGACTGCTGCCGCTAAAACCTAGGGGCTATATGGTCAAAACCTGACACTCACAGACAGGATTGACGTTCAGAGTGCTCAATCCCACTTCAATCAGTGGGTCTCCAGTTTGAAACAAAGCATTGCTTGGGACGTGGGAGGGATGCAAACCACAGTGGAGTCTCTTTACAGTGAATGAAATGCAATTCAGTGCAGCACATGGAGACTTCTCAAGGATCTTAAATCTGGCTATAAAACATAACCTTTAAAGTCCTGGGAAGGAGCTAAACTATAACCTGAATTCATTTGGGGGGATGCAAGACCATCTCCTCTTGTCTTGATCTAACTAGTGTGCAAATGTTTCCTAACAGTACTTTTACTGTATCTGTGCCCCATGAATAGATCCACAGGGCTGCTGTCCTTTCCCTTTCAACAATAATTCTACTGTACTGCATTGAATCTTTAGCTCCATTCACTTTTTATATCAAATTATTGTTTGGGAAATTAAAAAAATACTGGAGCAGAATAAGATGAAAAATATCAAAGATTAAACAACCTAGATCTGTAACTAAAAAAAAAAAACAATAACAAAATTGCATATTTTCTTGAGGTCTTCAATTGTATGGTATGGACCTTAATGTCTTCAATAATAATTTCCATCTTCCAGATCTCAACTGACCCATGTTACAACAGCCGCCTCAAGTAATACATTTCAGAACCAGATAAGTGAAATGATGGATTTACTAGCTGGCCATAAGAAGCATGGCATTAAAATAATTACTTGTTTATGACAACTGTTTTTCTGCCTTTTACTTTTAGATAATAAAAGGACTGCTAGAAATTGGCTTTGCTGCGGTATTTGTTTTAGGATCTAAAGTTACACACAAACACATTCAATTTCTAGCTGTTAGATTACAAGGAAAAGGATTTTTCTGGTATCAAGAAAATTCCCCCACCCCCAGCCCTCGACAGTTTAAACCGAATATGTACTTAGAGTAATTTTCTAACCAAAGGAACACAGACGTTATATATTTCTTTCTTTTCACTGGAAATTTAAAACAAGACAGCTCTGCACCAAGCAGAATAATTGCTGAGGATGGATAAATTTTAACTAAACAAAAATGTTACCCTAAATCTGAAATTAGAGAAACTGAACTGAACTAGTACAGTACCCATTATTTGGGTACCAAAGCCAGTGTCAGGGATGAAGCCAGATGAATGGGACTTGATTTGACAAGAGCCCTAGCCCCACATCCCTAAAGTGGCACCAGACTAATATTATGCTTCTTCTATAACTCACCAGAAATAGGAACACTGAAAGACTATCTCCCCCACAGACTGAGGTCATCTATTCAACAATATGCAACTTTTACATTAGATAATGTATTGCTTGAGAGCCCAATATTCCATTGACTTTCCTGGAAATTTGAAGGGGAAGCAAAACAAGATCCAGCCCAGACTGTACACTTCATACTCTACCAAAATTTCAGAAATACTCTTATACTTGCTCTCCTCTCTTCAGGGTAAAAAAGACTCTCAATTGGATGGGTTTTTTTTAAACTTAGGTTCTCATGAATATAGACCAGATTTTTATATTTCAAAAGGCTTTGTAAGAAGAGGCAGCTGAGAAACCTATTTCCTTATTTACCAAACAACATTATTAGTAGTGAGAAGTTATATTGTTTGAGCTCTTTTGCAAAACTGTTTCCTATCCAACTACTTTCTATCTGTTCCTTTTATTTCTCTCCTTCCAGTCTGCACTGATTCATTTCTCCTCTTCAAATCTCACATTCAAAATTCCCTTTCTGCTTCAGCCTCTGAAACTCACCTTTCCTTTTTCCCCTTACTGCAACCTTCCATTCTCAGCTGACTAGAACCAATCTGCAAAATTACCTATTTGCATCTTCACTGCTTTAAACATTTTAGCTCTTTCCTTTTACTTAACTCCATCTCTACTTCATTTTCACTTTTTCTCGGTACCCAACTCAGTGAGGCGTTTTTTCTCCTTTTCTCTTCTACCTCCCTCTGCAAAGCATTTTGTGCTATTTTTAATAGTGTTGTAACATCAGCCTTCTCACTATCTTTATTTTGTGGGGGTCTGATCTTCTGAAAACTGAGTGACAAATCCTGCTCACCTTA